CGTTTGCCTTTGCCTTTCGGTGGGACCTGGCCGGAATGTCGGCCGGAACCCTTACGTTCGGCATCGGGTGACAAAGATGCGCGAACAACATCAATGAAGCGAGCGGCAGTTGCAACAGGCGCCGCTTCATCGTGCGTTGAATCACTCTGACGCGAAAGACTCACGCTGCGTCGAGACCGTAATACCGGTCGGTCAGCGGGAGGTTGGCTCGGCGATCGGGGCCTGGACTTGGCTGCAGGAGTCTCGGAAGCAGCGGCGCTCTTCTTCAGGCCCATGATGATCGGAGAGGCTAAATATGCTCAAGCTTATCTTCGTCCGTAGTAGTGCGCTTGAACCAAAAATGCAGTCGCAGACACAAATTTTCTTGAGACAAAAATTCACAAGAAAAATGTCATGAGGCATACATAAGTGAATACACACAGTCTGATATATCTTCAGTTAAGAATGTGAGAACAAACTGCGGATCCGGCAGGTTATTAATGACCCACTCAGTTATAAAGGCCTTGTGCTTAACAAGTGTGCGGAAAGGTGGGTGTACATCAACCTGTCGGAGTGTTCCTGTCTCTATGCTTCTTACAAGTTCATCCGGTTTGGCGGTGTGTTTTGCTAAAGGATCAGCGAGACAGAATTCACTTGCGACATGACTTAGGTCATCTATGTTGCCAGTGTTACTCTCGTGTCTAAGCATCTGGATGAGGTGATGTGTTTCCTTTTGCTCGGGCAAATGTGTGGTTTGTGCAGTGGTGACCAGGTTATTTGCATCTGTTCGTAGGTGAATAGGGAGAATCTGGCCACTGACATCAGCCCATAAAGGACGGAGAAAAAGACATGTTCCGAAACACCTCATCAAGGCTTGAAGTTCAGCAACAGTGGTGGACTGGGTAGTAGTAGTGATCTTGTGACTCTCATAGTCTATGATAGATCCACGTGTTGCTGAGCTATCCTTCTTCTCGGAATATCGAGAGTTATAGGGCTGTCTTTCTTCAGCTAGATAGATGACGTGTGCACGTTGACTGGACTTATCACTGTTATTTCTATATATGATGCATCAGGAAAGCCAAGGATGCGTTGATTACCCTTAAGAGGCCAGAATCGAGCATCCACATATTGGCTCTTCATAGTACGAACAACCTTGTTGATCTCACGCACATCGCCAATGGTTGGACTCGAAGCAGCGGACGCACATCTCGAGAACTTGTAACGCAAATGAACTTGCGTTCGACTCTGTAACCAATTGAGTTGGCCTAGAACAGAGCGATATGCTGTATGCATTTGAGGATTACAAGCCAGGTTGTCCTTTAGATGTTTCTCAAACTTGATCTCCTCGACAGCATCTACTGCAAGCTTCTGGTCACAAGAGATATACGGTCCTTGCTTATCATGAGTCTTCCATTTGATGCGTTGACCAACAAACATGATGTCATTCTTGTCTTCCGAGCCTACATTAAAGTCCTTACGAATGCTGGCAAGCACCTTATCTGCAAAGACCTTGTCTCCGGCCATGAACAAATCATCGACACGAAGACAAATGAAACCATGTGGTCTTCGGCCTTGCGCATTATTCTGTGCTACAGGATCCAGCAACATGTCGATGGCTTCTTGGACAGGATCATTGGACGTAGACGTCTTGCGGAAAGACTTGGACAACGAAGTGTCCTTGGATGACATCCTGTCGCCGTACAAAATGTAAGTGCATCTATCGGCTCTTGTTGGCACTAGTCCATAGCTAAGAAGGGCTTTATCGACAACCTGCCACCATCGACGTGGTGCGTCGTTCAGACCATATGCGGACTTCTTCATCTTAGCTCCAATATGTGGTGGATAGCCGCATTCGGACGGGATCTGACAAATGATGTCTCTAGTTTCATCATATGCTTCGCCTTGCAGGAAGGCGGTCTTCAAGTCCATATGATATAGATCCCATTGGCAATTGGCTGCAAACTGTGATGCACATCGAAAACCTGAACGGCTGGCTGCAGGACTGTCGGTTTGTTGGGTATCCTTCTGTCGGTCTTGGAAACCCTTCAGTACCCAACGTGCCTTACACTTGAGAAAGTTACCGTCCTTGTCCTTCTTGATGGTAAGAACCCAGCGACCAGCTACATATAGTTCCTGATCTTAAGCTTACGCATGTCAACAAGCTCGAAGACATCGTTGTCAAACCAGGACTTGCATTCGGCTTGCTTGGCTTCCAGGAATTGCTTGGCAAACTGGCGTTTCTCTTGCTGGGTTGCTTCCTTACGCTTCTTACCGACAAGATAGGAAAACTTGTCCTCCGATGATTGGTACAAGGTCAGGAAGGCCTTGTCTTCCTCCGTAATGCCGGAGTAGACTTCCTTGATGTCGGCATAATTCTTACGAAGCAGCTGACGTTTCTTCTGTGCCATGTATGAAGACGGAGTGACAAAGTCAGCATAGGACGGAACAGTCTTAAGATCTACAGGTGAACCATCGATGTACCGAGGTACCGTGAACGAACCAGTATTGCTGCAAAGCTTCTGTTCAGCTGACAGCCAACTCCAGCTGCTGTCGTCCACGATAAGGTCATTATAATCGATGGTTTCATCTGAATCAGCGTCATCTTCTTCTTCATCTTCTTGCACATCAACAGCGACTTCATCCGGAATATCGGAGTCAACAATCACGGCTTCCGGTGATTCCGGTGAAAGTGGCTGAGGTGACACTGGCTGTTCGTCATCGTCGTCTGCGATCGGCAAACTAGGTCTGGATGGCTGAGCATCTGGATCACCGGCGTCCTCTTCTTCCGGAAATTCGGGTATATCATCTATGTCTTCTTCCGGTTTGCGTTTCCTTGCTGGTGTTCGGACGACCGGCGGCGAAAAGACGCGTCGATCATCACCCCCCAGATGGTTGCTCGGTGGAGCCGTAGGAGGTGTAGACGAGGCAGGCATCTGTACAGGTCTGGTAGGACGAGCTTTCGTCGAAGGGCGGTCAGACACAGGTGAAGGTGTTGGTCGTTTCTCACCAGAAGTCATCTGCTCATCAGGAATGGAAGGTGGAACGACAAGAGTAGGAACGACAGGAGTGTCTGGTTGTACAGGAGTCAATGGCAAAAATGACGGAGGAATAGGTGGAACTGTGGCTGCAGGAGTAGAAGGTGGAAACTGTGATGGTGGTTGTGGTCCTGAAGGTGGTGTATCCGGAAGTGCTCCAGGCATGTCATTATCAGGTTGCGATGGTGGATGTTGGCCTGGGAACGGTGGAAACGGATTGGCTGGCGGTTGCTGTCCTGGAGAAGGTGTGAACGGGGTATCTGGACTGTCTCCAGGTGTAAAGAAGTCACCAGGTGTGAAAGGACCACCTGGAATGTCGCCAGGCATGTCAGGACCTGTGGGTGTCATGTACTCATCAGGGTCCAAACCAGGAGGCGGTGCAGGTGGTGCACCAACAGTGTCAGGTGTAACAGGTTTGGATGGTACACGGCCATCAGAGTTCCAGAAAAAGACACAGCTCCAGTTTGACTCCACCAGCTTCGACAAGTCGTCAAAAGGATGTGATTGGATGTACAACTTAGTTGTATCCTTCTTACGCCATAGAAACAATACACCTGCGGTCTGTCGGTACCTGACCTTCAATGGATCAAAAGTACCACGCAAAACTGTGGCGTACTCAAATGCCATGGTAGGTGCCAAAATCTGGCGCATATGTGAAACATCATGTGCGATATGCAATGACTCAGACCAAGGATTATACTCATGTCCCTTAGGGAGTGAGTTGACTCGGTTCATAAGGCGTCGAACATAAAAATCCTTCACTGTTACACTATCAGATTCACTGAAGTGAACGTATTCTCGATCCGTGTTTTCCATCAGGAAGAGCTGCAGTTCCTCGAGACCCGGAATATCGAGTTCTCCGAGCAGATCTACGACTACGGTAGTCTGTGCGTGAAACAATCCATGATGGCTTCCCAGCGGCAGAAGACAGCGAATAAGCTTGGAACAGAAACGATAAGGATAGACCTGAGCTAACTTGGTTCTGCTTCCAAAGCCAGGTGCTGAACCTTCCAAAGGTTGATGTTGGTGTTGTTCACCCCCGAGCTTATTACTACATCTCTTGAACACAGGCGCTAACACTCCTTCATCAAAGTTGTGCAAAAGAGATGTTGGTTTGTTGTAGTAATAGCCGTTAGGGTCTTTCATTCCAAATGAACACATGTCAAGAGTGCCATAGGTAACACCATGTTGTGACAAAAGACGTTGGAAACATCTGGTGTACCAAAGAGCTGATGAGGCTGGATTCTCAATGATGAAATGGCCTCCGTGTTCAATCTGAAAAATGGCAACACGACAACAAAATTCTAACATTGGAAGAAACTTCTGTCTACGCTGGTCTCGTGCGTCGCGATCATGGATATTGGTTATATCTGACTCCAAGGAGCGCAGTGCGGTGCCATGAAGATGACTCTAGGCTTCTGTTTCTCGATGATCTCCATCGTCCTCTTACGACCGTCACTGGTCAAGATGTCAAATCCTGTTCTAAGGTCAATAGGTTGTCCAACACGTAAACCATTCATGGCAGCAACTTGACTCAACTGTGCTGAACCTGCGAACAGTTCTAAGAAATCAATCTTGCCAGTCATGACAGGTTGCCAAGCATAAGAGGAATATGTGAAGCCTTCCACACCGATCTGAGCTCCGTCGCTCTGGACTATAGAGCTTGCATGGTCAGCGACCGGAATATCGGTCCGTGCACTCTCAGAACTCAATAGTGCAACTGGGTCGAGCGGCACCTCAACATCTTCGATTGGATTGATGTCCTTACGAACCTTGCTGATGTTGACCTTTAAAATTCTGGTGCCTACTTTGGTTTCCCCGGGCACTTGGGTAACTTATAAGTTACTTATGATGCTACTTAGCTAGATATGTTTTTTCGTACTTAGAACCATACTTATAAGTAGACTTGTAAGTAGGTTAAGTAGAAGTATGTGTTTTTCGTGAAGATTTACGAAAAAGAGAAAAACGCGCGCGCAAGCGGTTTTTTCATTGCAAGAGCCACACGTCAGGTCCATCTTTGCGCGCGAAGAGTGCTTCACGCCGCTGCAGAAGCCTGGAAACCGCCACAGTTTGCTGCGTCCCAGGTGTTTTGCGCAACCAGCGCGTGAAGCCCGGCGTCTGAACGCCCCCGTAGGGCCCCAGAACATCTGCTTCCAGCTTGTGTTGGCCGTGCTCCACTCTGGCTCCCGTGATTTCCACGGCCGTTTTCGTGTCCAAGATGTAGATCTGACCCGGAATGAAGTTTCGCCCCTCAGCAGTGAGCCCAGGCGCGCCACGTCTCTCCAAAGAATGTGTGCAAAGACCGTTTTAGCTCTTGGCTGGGAGTCCAAGCCATTCAATTTGAGGAGGATCGAGCGCGCGTAACCGCCAAGGCGAGCAAGGTTCGAGTGCGCATAGCTCTTGTATGCGCGATGCTTTCTCTCACAACAAAAGCAATCCAGCAACTTCCCCCACATTTTGCACTGATCAGCCAGGTGTATCGCCAAATGCATCTTGCCCTCGATTTCTTGTTTGTAGGTATGGATCTGCCTTGTGGCCAAGGAGCTGATCAAGGCCGCTCGCACAGTCTTCCACGCAATTCTTCCACCACTCGCGTTGTCGCTGCGAATGCGCGAGAAGAAATTCTGCTGCTCCCCCGGGCTCTGGCCTCGGAGTTCGTCCGCGAACTCACCAAGGTTGCGCCCAAGCTGCTTGTCGACCGCCATGCACTGGTGACATTCAAACAAATGCGCGGACCGCGGGCGGCCTTGGTCCAGTCGAAACTTGTGGCCACACAGGCGGCACAAGCAGTCCGCAGCGCCCGCAGGTGTGTCTGCAGCCATCTCCGAGGGTCGACTCTATACAGCGGGGTCGCGGTTGAGCCAAAGCAAAACTGCAGGGATCTCATGTCAGCCACCAGAGTCAAAAAACGGATCCAGCGACAGGAAAACCGGAACCAAAACTACCAAAAAACAACGAAAGTTTGCGAGAGGCCGCGGACAAACAGAAAATCGAACATTTCGGAGCGGCGGACATCGCGGACGTCGCGGACAAGCGTTTTCCCGCCGACATGCTGCGTTTCGTAGCCCGCGGACAACCGCGGACACGGTTTTGCCCTCTACAGGCTATAAATCCTACCTTTCCGCGGACAACGGCGGACAGCGCACAGCGTGTCCTCTGAAGCCGCGGACAACGGCGGACTTCGGCGGACAACGGCGGACAAGCCGTTTTCCTACGCCTCAGAGCAAGGTCTGCAGCCGCCGGCGCGCAGCCGACATCACCAGCAACGCAATTTCCAGCCAGTCGTGCAGTTCTTCCAGACCTGCGCGACGCACCAGCGGGATCAAATACATCAGAGCGTCCGCAGCTGCGAACATCTCTGCCACGTGCAAGGCGGGATTCATTGCCAAGGTCTGCCAACCATCCCGCTGGCTGACCGCGCAGCGGACTTCTTCCCCGTCGTGTGGCACGCCCGGAATCTCCGCCAGAGCTAAGGCGGTGGCAGCTCGTGTCGGCGCCAGTCTCGCTTCCAGCGGCGCGCACGACGACGACATCCAAATGCACTCCCGCACATTCTCCCACGTCTCCGCAGTCCTGCGGTCGGGCAAGGCGCTCTCGGCGTCCTTCATCAAAGCAGCCAGTCGAGTCAGGTCCCCTCCGGGTAACACAAAGTCAGCCTGCATGAGCCAGTCCAAAGCGGCGCGATCCTCTATCGAGGCGGTGCGCGGTCTGAGCCCGAAACACTGCGGCGCATGCCCGAACGACCCCCGCGCGCGATCCACCTCAAACAATTCGTCAAAGCACATATATCTATATTTATAATCTATATATATATATATATCATGTATGCGACTGTCGGCGGCGGCGATTTGCTCAGTTTTGTCAGCTATTTGCTGCCGCAACTGCTGTAGAGACTCGTGGTCCCACAATTTCTCATCCAGCATGGACAAGATCTTGCCTGACTGACCTGTGGTAAGGTCAGTGACCAAACCCAGCTGCTTCAAGAGAGCTCGCAGCTGCTTCTGCTGTGCGTCCTTGTAGCTCGGAAGGCTGCGCAAGCCTTCTAAAAATTTCTGGCCGGCAACCATTGCCTTCTCAAAAGCACCCGCCATACGCGGAAAAAGCAGTCGAGGTGCTTCCGAATCAACGTAACGCACCTGTAAGCCAAAACTGCCCAGCACGTGAAATCGAAAATGTTTGCAAAATGATTCCTTTTTGAACACATGTTTAAAAACATCGTGAAAACATACAAAAAGCTAAGTAGGTTAAGTAGTATCGTAAGTAGAAACGACGTTTTTCAAATTCAACAGCATCCTACTTATAAGTAGGGCGGTAAGTAGCTATCTCCATCAAAACTAACCAAAAAAAACTTGAACTTATGAACCACTTAACATACTTACCAACCCACTTAACCTCCCTTAAGTACACTTACACTCTTACTTATAAGTCCACAAGTGCCGCGGGAAACCAAAGTAGGTCTATACCAACCATGCTTCCATCAGAACTAATGACCTTGCCTTTGATCCATTTACCGCTGTGAGTTCCATCGGACTTTACCTTAGATTTGTCCTCTGTCCAATAGTAAATCTTATCACCTGGATAGAATGGACCATCGCTTAATTGAAGTCTTGCAGAAATGTCTCGTCTCAGGTCATCTGATTGTTTTGCTTCTAAGTAAGACTTCATGGCAAGTGTTCTGAGGGCATCTATGTTTTTCTCAGGAGAAGGAAGTGAAGCTGTAAGCTGTTCTGGTGTCATATGTTCTGGGTACAAAAGATCTGCAGGTCGTCTCCCGAATGCCATCTCCAATGGAGATACTCCACCAAAAGTAACCATGGAGTTCCTTGCAAGTGATGCTTGTCTGAGGAGTTGACGGTACGTGATCTCGTATCTGGATGGATCCTCAGTCACTGCCTTAAGCATCAGGACGATCTGCTTTTTGTACATGCGACCAGCGGCTTCTGCTCTATTTGGCCATGGAGTACCAGGTCCTAAAGTGATCGGTCGGATATTCTTCCTGTTGTAGAAGGATTCAAGTTCAGTACCCATGAAACCTTGATCACCGACAAGATACTTAGGATTCAGCTGGTATGTCTCAAAGTACTCCAACAAATGGCCAATCGTTTCTGCTTCAGTCTTGCCGTTACAAACATAAGCAGTGGTCATAGAAGTAGCACCGTCATAGATGATCAGGAAAAGAAGTTTGGACTTGTCGTTAATAGCAAGTTCACCGTGATCAACAAAGGTGAGTTCTCCAAACGTTTCACTTCTCATACCTGAAATTCTTGATCGTGAAGGTGCAATTTTTGACTTCTGACATGTATCACACTGCTTGACTACCTTTTCATATTCTTCATAGATCTTAGCAGGAATCTTTAAAGCTGATGTTCTTTTCTTGAACTGTTCAGTTGACATGTGATAGTGCTTCAAATGCAGTTTCAAGAGTTCTGTTGGATGTGACAGCTTTTCATGGATTCTCTGCAATGCTAACGGCAATGTTACAGAAACCTTAGGAGCCTTCTTCTCTCTGTGAATTGTTGTGGGTATTGGTTTCACGTCTTCCTTTGATTCTTCCTGAGGATCTGGCTTCACCGGCATGTCTGGTGCTGCAGGAGGTACGGCAGGTTTCTCAGCTCCTGAACTCGAACTTGGAATTTTTGAGTGCTCGAATGGCGTACCGAAATCAGGTGACTTTTCTGTCTTCCGGTATATCGGAGGGGTCACCTTTTTGGCCGGTGGAGGCATCGAAATGAGCTTCGATGGCGGATCGACCTTAGCATCTCCACTTGCAATGTGCTTCTCGGGCTTCTTAGCCGGAATATCGGCTGCTGACTTGTCTTCTTTTACTTCGGATGTCTCTGCCTTCTTACATCCATCTTTGTATGTGTGCTTCCGATGCTTTCCATTGCAGGCAGGACAGGTTGCATACGAAGGATTAATTGCTGTGAAGCTGTGATTCGGCTTACGGACAGAGCTGGCAAACATCATGATGTCTAAGACATTATGGTTCGAAGTGCTCACTGGCAGCGAAAATCGCTTCAGACCAAACAATGGACAAGTCAAATAATCACCGACTGGAGTATGCTCGATTGACATGCGAAGGTTCCTGAGCTGCTCAACGCTGAAAAGAATTGGAACGTCACCTTGGTCTAAAATGTCTATCGCGGTTGTAATCCACCCAGTGGGTGCCTGGTCATTCTGAAAGTAGATTACCAGCTTCTCTCGGACATTGGACTGTTCACCATTTGCAAAGGAAAATCGACTTGATGAAGGCTCAAAAGAGAAATCAATCTTAGATGCATTGTAGTGTCTCTTACATGCCTTCACTAGACGCATGATGGCGGTCCTTGAACCCATTGCTCTGGTACAGCCGCTGTCAATGATCACGTAGGTCGGACTGTACCTCAAGTCGATGTATTCGGAAAGCAAAGCATGGTGAAATCCATCGTCAAAGTTGACAAAAGACGAACAGAAGCGTGGATCTATCACTTCAGAACAACCGGAATGTCGGTAGTCTGTATCGCTACCGGCAGGGTTTAGGTGATACTGATGTGAAACATGTTCTGCACCAGTCATTTCATCTGCAGTGGTTCCGTAATACCGGAAATCTGCTGACTGGTTCGTCTGGCCAGGCCTTGGCTCTGAGCTATGGTGCTCTACGTCTTGCGGTCTGTCCGTCTGTCCGTCCGCAAAATACGTCCATTGCCAAGTGGCTTCATTTGCCTGCCAGACATCTTCGGGATAGAAGTCACTGTGGTATCCGTACGAGTCCCAAGACCAATTTGCTTCATGCGCACTCCAGGTTTCTTCGGCATTAGAAGTTGGTTGAGCTGATGAAGGCTCTTCGGTGGTTGCAACATTGGATTGTTGAAAGGGATTCTGTTGCTTGCTTTTTCCTTTTCCCTTGAAGGCATCTTTTCCCTTGAATCCTTTCTTGCCACCTTTCTTTCCTTTCTTGCCTTTTCCATAGAAACCTGAGTTGTCTGGGTACTCTGCATAATGGGCCCCTGCACCTTTGCCTCTACGGCTGATGAAGCCGGGTCTTCTACCTTTTCCGCGGCCTTTTCCTTTGCCGCCCTTGGATGGTTTTCTGAACCTTCTTCCATGGATTTTTCTTCGGGTGTATCCTCCTTTTGCTGCCAACACCCAAAATTCGGATTCTGAGAACAAACTCACAAATCCTTCTTCGCCTGTTTCTTGATCCATCACCCAGTATCCGGATTCTTCTTCCAAGTCTCCTTCATCGAGTACAAGGAAAGTGGATCTTCTCT